GAAAAAAATCAGTGCGATTGTGGAAGATCCTCGGGATCGTCCAGACTAATAATTAGTTAATTTGTTTATAAGGCCATAACTTGTAAACTATTCAACTTACCGATTCCAGATTTCGTGTGAGTCATTAGACAGTGATAAGGAACGAGAGGATGCGATGCAAAAACGTTCTGGTAATAATAAAGCAGTTTGTAAATGTTTAATTCAAAAGTCATAAGTAAATAAACTTCTTCTGTTTATAACTTTTGATCTAATCAATATTTTTTGACGCTCCAGGGTTACTTTTGTAAGTCTTTTGAAGGCGACAGAAAAAGTACATTACTGTTTTCTCGTGGAAATGAACGGAAAAAGGTTATAAGCGAAAAACATGAATTTAGGTACAAATGATACAATTAACCACCCTGTAAACAATCTTTCACCCATTTTTATGACTGTGGAAACTAATATGTTACTGTACATAATATATAGCATCTATAGTGATAAATTCAGCTTGCCGAAACAAAAAGTCGCGTCCAACTGCATATGTCCTGGCCTATTTTAATAATAAGCGAACCCTGTCTTCCCAAACTAACGCGTTGTCTTTTCCACGCGCCGACCGAAGCACGGAAATCCGTCGCGAATCGCCGCCACCTCCTGGGACACGCTGTTCTCCCGATGGCGAGTTACCTGGCACGCACACCTGTCGCGAAAATGTGCCACACCACGGCGACGGGGGCATTGATAAGAGGCGGGCGGGCAAAGGCGGTCTATCGCCGACCTACAAAGCACGCGCCGATCGTCCGTCCTGGCGGATGCCAACGCCTCTGCGGCGAAATCTCGATCACGGCGGCCACCTCTTCAGCGGCTGGCGCGAGAACCGACCGTTTCCAGTTTCCACTTCCACACGTCAACGCTGCTGCCGCCCGTGCACACACACACACACAAACGATCATCGGTGTCGATGTAACCGCAAATAGGTCTCCGAAGGGCACCAGAACCGGTCCGGCCGCATATGGGTTGTGCTTGTGTGCAGTCTGTAGTATTGATTTTTTTTCCACACACCACATAATATGACTAAGACGGTCTGCCACGATCTTCTGATCTCGTGATTTAAGACTGGAAATAGAGTGCAGAAATTTCGTAAATGATTACAACCCATGTGACCATTAATTTGGTTTGAATCAGTGATTTTATTTCCTTCGTGTTGGCAATTAAATTTTAGTAAAATTAAAAATTACCAAACCAATAAGATCACGATTATGTAAAAAAAACATTTCGTTTTACCGGCTGGCAATTTTTCACATTTCATTCAACCAATCGGCAATCGGATTATCTTGATCGTTGACGCAACGGTTTGCTACGGTTCATTGTAAACGAATCATTACGATTGCTGAACTAAATTGAATTTGTGCATTTTTCGGTAGCGTCCGTCGTCCGTCCGTCCGTCTGTTATAGCTGTTTTACATTGACAATTTATTCATCAATAAATTGACGAAGTTCTTCATGAATTAATTCACGAATTTATTGGTAAAAAGTGTGGTTTTACACTGCTACAGACTTTGTCGAGTTTTTTGACGTATGAATCAGTTCTACCAATGAATCAAAGAAGCAAATACATTTCAAAAATGTCACCTCTCCACTCATAATTGTAGTGATACAACAGCGGTACCGTTCTGGCACATATTATATAAATATTAGTTTTTTTAATAACAAATCAGTAAAAACAATGCAAAACTAGCACGACGCCACACAATTATTTACATATTCCAATA